GCTGGTTGTTAAACATTTATCAGCATACTGCTGCCCACAACATAGGGGAAGGAGGCACCAGCTGAAGCAGGGAGACTGATGGAGGCTGAACCAAGAGGGGACTTGGATGCCAAGTTCAGGAGCTTGGATTTCCCCCTAAAGGGGATAGGAAGTTGCTAGAGCATTTTAAAGCACAAGAGCTATATGATCAATTATCATTGATTTGTTATAGAGACGCCTCGGGCTGCTGTGTGTTGGGTGGACGAGAGTGGACTACACGTGGGACAGGGAGACCAGTGAGCAGGCTGTTGAAATAAAGAAGAAAAGATGGGGTCAGCCTTAGTGATTAAATGTTGGGGGTCAGGAGTGTGACCAGTCTAAGACGGCCCCAAGTCCTGTCTTGGGACAATTGGTAGAAGATGGCAGTGCCTCTGAAGTGTTGCTGGACAGGGAGAGTGTCCTGGACACATGAGACCGTCCCCATGCATTGGGGCCTTACTCTTCTGTTTCGGCCTGCATCACATCCAGAAGCACTTATAGGGATTTACTTTCACTGTGTAAAGTTGGGTATCTCTGACCTTTTGCCCATGGACTGCATCCTCTAGAGAAGCACCATGGAGCTGGGAACACGTACTGGGGTCTATCAGACCCGGCTCCCTTTATTCTGATGACTCCTTGGGCATGACAGTTTCCTCCTTGAGCCTCAGTTTACTTCTCTGTAAAATGGGTATTGTCACCCACACCCTATTCTCCTCCCCATGCAACTCTTGGAAGAAGGGACATATGCCAGTGATTTTTCTAACGGTGTCAGATGGTTTTCCCCAGGGCAAGGGTGAAAACTGGGAGAGTTCCTAGCACAGAGGGAAGCAAAGTCTAGTTAGATGTCATTCCTGAAAAACATCACAGAAAAAATGGCTACAGGAGAGCATGGAGTGGAGTGCAAGGGATTGGTACGGTAGTACCACCAACCATGCAGGAGGAGTCCAAGGTGCAACCCATTTACTTTTGGCTCCAGGAGAGCTGGCAGCTGGCCAACTCTCAGCTGTCCTGTTCTTTGCCCCTGAAGGTCTTAGTCATTAGCAGTCCCAACGGAGTGAGTCATGCTTGCTATCAATCAGTGATTGTGCTGTGGAGTCCTAGGTCCAAATATTAACTACACCAAACAAACAGAATCATCCATATGGAATGTGAGCTCCCTTGTTTTCTGTCTTTACACCTTGTTTGTTTCCTTTAGGATCACTTACCAAAACGTGGTCTCATTTGTTAATTTCTTGACCGTATCCCCTCACAGTTTGATCTCAGTGGTGTGGAAGATTGGTGAGCCCAACAGCTATGTCTGTTTCGCTCCCAGCATCCAGCAGGGGCCCACGCACTGAGGTGGCTTATTAAATATCAATTGATGAATGAATTAAGCAAGCCCCCAGCCCATCATTTACCCTACCCCCCTTTATTACAATCTCATTGTTTCCATTATCTGGTTTTGTTTCCTTAACTGTGGAAGGGAGGAAATACAGAGAACAGAATTTCCAGGTCATTTTCGGACAGAATGACAATGGCCATTTCTTGACCACTGACCAGGGGTCATGCATCTTCATGGGCATTATCTCATTTTATCCACATAAGGGCACCAGCAGGCATGGTCCACTATTATGCCCATCTTGCAGATGAGGAAAGTAAAGCTCAATTAGACTAGCTCAGCTGTCTGAGGTCTCACAGCTGGAATGTCATAGAACTGAGAATAGTGAGCAGTTACCTCTAGCTTTGGGGTCTTGCTTTTTGCTTCATATGCCAGTGCTTTGAAAATTCTGGTTCTCAACTCTAGCTGTACACTGGAATTATCTGGGAGGTCAAAAAAAAATATATGGTTGTTTGTCTCCCAGTATTGAGGTTTCTGACTTAATTAGTCTAGGCTATGGCTTGGGATATTGGGGTTTTTAAATCTCTCCCTATTTCCTACACCCGCTAACGTGCAGTCAAAATTGAAAATTATTGCCCTGAAAAGCATGAGATAAACATGGAGCCAGTCAAACAGCTTTGTTTGAGGACAAGTCCAGGCAGAGCTCACTGGGAAAGGCTTTGATGATGGTGCATCATGGCCTCCTGGGATGGATGCACAACCCAGAAAGGAGAGGGCTCTTGGTAGGCTGTCCCCTGAAAAGGTGAGACCTGACGTTACTCATCTGTAGTATGGGGCTAAGGACAATTCTGGCATTGCTTAGCTGGGATCCTAGACTCTTAAGGCTGGAAGTGAACTTAAGGATTCTCACTGAGGTCCAAAGAAGTTAGATGACTTGCCCAAGCCCACACAGTGAGCAAGACGCAGAGACACAGAACAAGACAGTGAATGAGAAGCTGAAATTAGACTGACCGATGGGGCCAGCTCTGGATTTATCACTCTGGCTGTGTGGCTCTGAGCAAGCACTGTACCTCCCTGAGCCTCAGATTCCTCATCTGGAGAACAGCCATGATGATACTCTACCTACTCTCCAGGGTTCTGTGAGACTGAAAGGAAAGTGTGTTTGCAGCGTGCTTAGCACAGTGCTTGGCACATGGTGGGTGCTCAAATCTTTCTGTGGTTGACAAAAGCAAAATAGAGAATACACACAAAGGCAAAATGGGGCCCGAGAGGTCATCCTGGGTGGGCAGCAACATTGCAAAGGACCTGGGGCCAGTGGAGAAGTTATCCAAGTGATCCTGTGGTTGGGAGTTGGGGCTGATGTGAAGCCTACATGCGGCCAGAGTTAGGGCCCTCCCTCCCACCCCCGGCGTGGGTAAAGGTTAGGTTGATAGGAAATAGGAGCAGTGCCAATGTTCCTATTGTAGGTACCAGAAATGAGACATCAGGTGACATGTGGCATTCAAGAAGGGACAGCATCCTTGGGTCCTCCTGGGGTGAAAGTGGTTGTTCAATCTATGGTTATTGCGTTGAATGAAAGACCCCGTCATCTTTTGAGGATTTGGAGGCCCCATTCCCAGGAATGCCAGTCTCTGGGGCGAAGATGAATTTTACTGACTTGAGGCTAGGGAACCAGGCTCTGAGGATTAAAGGAGATGGTGTGGGTGAATCGTTCAGCACTCTGAGAGCCTAATAAACATTAGCTATTGTTATTTACTGCTAACAATAAACTCTGAGCGTTGGGCACATTTATTCTGCCTGGGTTCAAATTGTGGCTTAGCTGAGTGATTTGGCTAAGTGGATTTCATCTCTCAGCCCACATTTCCCTCATCTGTAAAATGGACCGAGAGCGTGAGCCCATCACATTTGTGAAGGAAGATAAACTATAGGAAGTTGAGCTCAGGAACACAGGAAATGTCTGTCCTAAGGCTGGTGTTGAAGGCTGGGTTACTTGGAATGGCGAGTGCGCCTCCGAGCCCGATTGTAAGCCAGAGAGGGAAAGGAGATCGCTGTCAAAATGGAACTGTATTCCCCAACTCCGGACTTCACATCTCAGTTCCAGTTACCTTTCTATTTCCTGCCCTGATGGGGTGAAAAGTCCCTGCGAGCCAGCTGGAGAGTTTTGTAGCATAAGTTACAAGGGGAATTTTGCTTTCTCTTGGAGAAACCCTCTTACCTCCTGAAAAAGGGAAGCTCATTGGAAAGTCAGTCATTCCAAGCACAGAACTCTTGAGACCTGTTTGTAAACTGCTTAGGGAAGGGACTCGAGCTCCCTGCATCCGCCTCTGCTCGGGATTCGCAGAGAAAGAAACTGAGACCTGCAGAAATGAAGTCGTTGGTTGACCCAAGGCCCCAGAATTTGCCTGTTGGCAGACGTGGGCCTGGAACACAGGTCTGTTGACTCCGGGTCCACTGTTTCCTACAGTTCCACCCTTGGGCATTATTATTATTATTGTTATTGTTATTAATTATTACTAATTATTCTTGTTATTCTGGTATGTGTGTAGGTGAGTGTGAGCAATGGGAACAGGGATGGTAGTGAAAATATCTTAACAATTGGTTAGTTTCGTCCTTTTGCTCCCAAGTTCCTAGAGATGGAGAGTCCTTTTGAGAATTGATTGAAAATGTTGACTTTGGTGGAGCTAGATTAGACAAATGATTTTTCTCGTCTGAAGAACTGGCATTAAGACTTTCGTAGATATTTGGCTTTTAATAAGCTGAGGGCAAATAATTCATTTCTCTCCGTAAAAGTAAAACATGTTTTGCCCTCATCACTTCCAGGAGTGGGTGCAAGCCTAATGTGAGAATGGAGTTTCTGAGGGGTACCCCTACATTCACAGGTTTTCCCACTGGGAGGGAAATTTTTGAGACTGAAATTTTGGAGAGCCTTATTCTTCGCCCTTAATCCATGTCTGATTTTATCCACAAGATTAGCTGGAAACAAATGAAATTTCTGTGTGACCATTTTTGACCCACAGAAATGGCTATTTATTTATTTATTTTTTAAGATTTTATTTATTTATTTGACAGAGAGGGAACACAAGCAGGGGGCGTAGGAGAGGGAGAAGCAGGCTTCCCGTGGAGCAGGGAGCCCGATGCGGGGCTCAATCCCGGGACCCTGGGATCATGACCTGAGCCGAAGGCAGATGCTTAACAACTGAGCCACCCAGGTGCCCCAGAAATGGCAATTTAATATGGTCCCAGTGTAATATTGGCTGGGCATCAGTGAGGACTCTGGCAACTGCTCTTGAAAAGGGAAAGAGATGAACGCTTTTTTGATTGCTGTTTTTGTAAGCAGCAGCGGGGTATCATGTCAGAGAGTCCTGGGTCCAAATTCGGGCTTCATCAAGCATTACCATAGCTCTCCCTGGCTTCTCTTTCTCTTTCTCTTAGGGTTGTTGGATATGCCACTTAACCACAGAATCTTCTAATTCATAAAAGAAGCTCAATGGATTCCCTCCTTGTCTCCCTTCCCCCCATTTGACCAGAGTGGTAAAATTTGTGGGACTTCACAATTTTTGTAAGGTTTATTATAACTTGTGAAAAGTGAGTTGTCATTTTGCATTCAAGGACATGGAGAACTAGATGCATTTTAAAAAATCCCAAGAGGTTATCCTGAGATCTTAATCTAGAAAGAAAATTAAACGAACAGATTCACAAAAGAATAGACCTCATTATTACGTTTCTGCAGCTTCCAATGCCGATTTATTAAGTTACATCTGTTAAATACATTAGCACATACAACATTTCATTCACAGTGATTAGAATTCACACAGTAGTGCCCAAAGACATAGATGATTACCAGTTACCAGTATCCAACAACATACAATATGCACTTTACCTTGGGGTTGTGACGTTTTAACATAAAACATAGAATCAGTGAAAGTGCTCAGGGTTTATCAGTAAAACCACATAAATACCTACATTTGTTCAATCTGTATACCCCTGGAACAAAAGCAGGGGCAGTGACATATTTTAATGACTTTATGAACAAAGTCATTTGATTAAGTTCAGCTACTTCATTTGCTCAACATCGTGTTTCTCCTTCCTCCTGAATGTTTGCAACAGGAGAGTGGGACTTGCCTGTCATGTCCCTTCTTGCCTTGCTCTTCAGGATCTAGATAAGTGCTGTCATGTGACAAATGCTAAAAAAAAAAAAATCCCACAAAACTGATTCATGGATGAAATGTGTGTCAGGAGCTATGAATTCTAGTCTCAGCACTGCTACTAGCTAGTCGCTGACATTGGACCATTTATGTCATCTTCCTGAGCCCGGGTTTCTTCATCATTAAAATGATGTAACTTGGAGTAGATAAACTCTGCAGATCCCATTGGTTGTAAAGTTCCATGGCATTCTCTATTGGTCAAGCTCAAACAGTCACTCTGTGTTGGACACTCTCAGAACAAGTGGGAAATGGCAGCCACTTGTAGGCTGAGAGACACTGAACTCTTGACAAGGCCTGCCAGGTTCTTAATGACCCCACAGAACACACAAAAGTCAATTAAAAAATGCCCATGTTAAAAAAAATACACAGATGGCCACATAATCATAGATCTGGAAAAGACCTCAGACATCCTTTGGCTCTATCCCTTCCTGCCACCTCAATGAAGGAATGACTTCTTCAGAACCCTTGAGATAAGCCCTTGGCTTGAATATATCCAAGGACTGAGAAATCACTATCTGGGGACATTCTACTGTGAGGGTAGAAAGTTTCTCTGGTTATTGGGCCAGAAATGATGACCTTGTAAACTGCAACTCCTTAGCCCTAGTGCTTTCCTCTAAGGGACATGGAAGCAGTCCCCTCCCCGCTTCCACATCCCCCAGAGCTATTTGATAATACTTCTCATGTCTTCCTCCAATCTCTCCTCCAGTTATTAAAACAAATACTATTTGCAGAGGGTAACTGGATGAGCCCAGGATTATGATTCAGGAAGATAGTATCTCAGCCCCCAGATCCACCATGAACTCATTGTGTGACCCGGAATAAGTAACTTCCATCTGGACTGGCATTTTCTCCTTAAAATAGGGCGATGGAAGGGATGGGGTGTAAATTTGTCTCAGAGCTTGGGAAACTCTAAATATGATAGCGTGGGGCAGGGAACAGGTGTGACTGCTCTGATCTACCCTCTCCTTCACCATTGGAGCAGAAGGATTCAGGGATTAGCCGTCGGCTGAATTCTCCCCAGGCCCCGCTGCCGGTCGGAGCCAATCACTATGACTATCCAGGAGAGGGGTGCACACTGAACAAAATTTCTGCTACACACGGCAAAACACTTTCAGGACTCCGAGCCCTAGGAGAGCAAGACATCTTGAGACAAGAGACTACTGCATGTGTTTTGCAAAGGTGCAGAGTATAATGAGCAATCCTCTCCTGAAGAATTAATTCCCAGTGTCGCAATCATGGAAACATGATTGGGGGAAGGACTGGGGAAAATACCTTGCAAGAGAACGTTGGCAAGGGCCATGCCTTGTGCACAGTAAGATAGTCAAACTTTTATAATCCAGAGGGGTTACTGACGAGTGCGGAGGTGGTACTTCCTCTGGGGTGACATAGCTTAGGTTGAAATGGAGCCAAGGGACCTGGTCTGCCCTGTTGAACGGAATCAGACATTTTCAGGATGTGAAAGTCCTACTGTACCCTAGTCAAAACATTTAGGAATTTTCGTAGCTGAAGCAACGCCGTCCTGCCAAATAGTTCTAAACTGTGCTAGGGTCAAAATGCAAGCAACCCCATGCATTTTGATCACGGTTCCTGCATTTTCTGAAGGTACACCGGCTTTTCAAAGCACCTCTGGCTCATCCACAGGTTCTAATATTTTCAAGGGTGTCGAGGGCCAAACTCAAGTCCAGCAGATGATAACCTCTCTGCACTTGTGGCTTAAATAATGGATTCTACTATAGGAAATGGTATCTTTATTTTATCCCCTTTTATTAATGGAAAACTCTGTGAGTAGCTCTTTAAAAAACCACTTAGTGTAAACACAAATCATTTTGTTAATGATCATCCTTCATCAGATGGCACCCATTTTCCGAATGAGAAAATATCCACGTGCCTAAAGTTAGCTAATTAGGTAGCTAATATTACCAATATAAATGAAAGGGTCTCCAGACCATGGAGGTGCTGAGTGGTTAGAGTGAACCCATCTGAAACTAAAATAATTTCTCTTTGTGTCCCAGGGCGAGTAGGCACTCAGTAAATGTGGAATTGATTTGAATTCAGCCTTTTGAGAGACATTGGACCAGCAGAGCATTTCTCCCCTAAATTAACTATTTTCTGAAGCACATAGGCATGCTCCTTCTTCCCTTGCAAATCTTTGGCAGCATCTCATTTACTCCTTTTAGGAGACCAGCATGTTCTTAAGGATCCTCTCATCTCATTTTTAAAACTAGTGCACTAATTTTGGCTATGGAGAGAATGCCTAGGAAACAGAAGTTTTGACTTGAATCCTACTGGAAATGCTCGGCTGGCCCTTTCTGAATGGTACAAGATATAAGGACTTAACAAATTTAGCTGGGACAACTTCAGCACAATACACCTTTCAATAAACAAGCTTATGACAGGAGCAAAATAAACATGTGGCAGGGAGTTTCCGCAAGTGGTCGAGTCTTTTAGAATAGTGGGAAACTTCTATTCCTTGGATGAACTTCCAAATCCTACAAATGCCCTAAGGCGCAGTGGGCACGTCTGAAGACCCTTGGTAACAAGAGTTCCTTTTAGTGGAGAAGGTGAGGGGGGTCACTTTGACCTCTTGCATGCCCATCCTCCTGCTCCCCACGGTGTTTCGCATGCATGCAAATGCAGACGGAGCATTTTATTTTCTCCATGGGGTCGTGAGTTCTGATCCTGGAGGCACACTGGAGTTGTTGATAAAATTATCCCGATCTGCCAGCAAACATTGTTCTCGGAGTAGGTTGAAGGAGCATTATCTTATCAAGCTGGTTTTATAGTTACTGAGAAACCTTTCCTTTCTGCTTTAACGTAAAGGGTAATTCCTCCGTCTCAGATGCCCTTTCCCCGAGGCCATCTCTTGTCCGCCCACCCTCTTTCAGGAGGCGCTCAGGCTTCACTTCCTTTATGAAGACTCTTCTGAATCAGGTGAGGTCACCACACCCTTCTCTCTGCTCCTGCGGAGCCCTGTGCTCACTGTGCTGAGAAGGCTCTAGAGCCCTAATCTCCTGAGAAACCAGAAATCAATTTTTATTTTTTATGTAACTCAACAAATATTGACCAAGTACTGCACACCAATCACCCTGCTCAGAAGCCCCAGCACACACCTTCGTACCTGTGAGAGTGATTTTGGTGCCAAGTTTGCTTTTAGACCCGGTCGTGAAGGTCTCCCACAGTAGGCTGCATTGATGATAAGGACCAGCGTGCAGCAGGTCACTGCCCATGTCATACCGACATGCTCTTTGACTGCACAGAATGCTCAGAGCGAACATGTTTCATCCCCACGAGCCCATTTGATCCTGGGAAACAAATTGGTGGACTCCTACTTTATAGACAAGTCAACTGAGGCTAAGAGCAGAGATGCCCCTCCTACCCTTGGCATATTAGTGGAGGAAAATCATACAGATTAGAGAGTATGAAGTCACTAAAGGGCAGGAGGGACCTTCTTAATGTTCAGCCTCTCCTCCATGGGAGAAGCCTTGGCTGGGCTGATAAGCTCATCACATATTGAAATCCCTTGAGTATTTTAAAAGAAAAATTCCCTGATTAACACTCTGCACATAAAATCTAAGTTAACGTCTCTAGATTTGGTGATTGACTGTCTCTCCCTGCCAACCCCCCCCTCCACCCCGCCCCAGACGAGAATAAGTCTGTTCTCTCTTGGCATTGATCAGGTTTGTTGTAGAGCTGGTCTAGTTGGCTAGAAATCTGTCTTCGAGTTTCTTGAGTGACCTAATCAGCTGGATATCTTACACTGTCTGGAGAGCTTCAGAAATCTTACATACTAGTGTCAGATGAGATATTTTTTAAGGACTTGGAGTTAGTCCAAGTCCTCAAAATTGAGTGATATTTGACCAGGAGCCACGGATGGAATTCATTTAAGTTTTGAATAGAGTCTGTCTTATTCTTCATAGTATCATCTGGGTTAAGGTAGTACCCAGAACGTAAAAGGTGTTCAAGTAAACTGTGCTGAGTAAATGCTATTGTTGTATTTTTGATATGCATGTGGAACTCATACTTGCTGGTTTTCATGCCTGTGCACAGAATAAAAAGAGGGGTTGCTTTTTTCATTTGCCATAGATGGTATGAAAACCAATTTCTTTCCCTTTCTTTCTTTTCTTTCTTTCTTTCTTTCTTTCTTTCTTTCTTTCTTTCTTTCTTTCTTTCTTTCTTTCTTTCTTTCTTTCTTTCTTTTCTTTCTTTCTTTCTTCTTTCTTTTTCTCCTTTCTAGTGTTCATGAGAAATACCAGCCCTCTTTTCATTTTTTTTTTAAGACAAGGCATTAAAGTATATGTTTAGAGACACTGATGAAGGATTTTGCTCTAGGGTTTACACTGTTTTCTAGGGCTTTGGATTTTGTTCAAGGGCCCCTAAACTGAAGCAAATGTTTCTTGATCAAATCCCACAATAATTGGGCCCACTGGTGACTGATGTGTGGTATGAAGGGGTGGAAATGTTCCGAGTAGACCTCCATTCATTTGGTGATCAGTGTGTCAGTGTTTAGAAATCCACCCCTTTTCCAAGCAACCACGGTCGTGTGTCTGCTCTGTTCTGCCTTTTTCCGGTTAAGATTCTCATCAGTAAGGCATATAAAGTATGACATTTCGGGCCTCCAATTTCATAGCTAAGCCACCGTTTCTGTGGAATGGTCCAAAAAAAACAAAAACAAAAACAAAAACCTGTTATAATTATGTATGAGTGAAGAAAATTAGGAACTAGGAGGCAGAGGACCTTCACACGAGGATGCCCACCTTGCCCCTACAGCAAGAAGGCGCCAAAGAAAGTTTTATCTTCTTTTGTGTAATCCACCAAAGAGATGTCACTGACGTTCACCATCAGCTTGTCCCCTTCCTGCAAGGAGAACATGGCCCCTAGGTAGATGGGCTGGAACCAGTTGCTGCCTACTTCGCACACAGACTTGGTCCCCATTAGGAGCTGGGTCGGCTCGGGGTAGCTGTCTGTTACCTTAGTGATGACCACGATGATGGAGTCTGGCTTGTTTAGTCGGCTCCCTTGGTGGATTTCACCACACTCAGATGTGGTTCCTCGGAACGTGACCTGGGAGTAAACAAAGTAGTCTCCCGACTCTGGGATCACCAGGAATTTATTTGTGTAGTTCATCCGGTTCTTGGTAAAGGCCAAGCCAAGTTCATGTTCCCAGTGCAGAGCTGGAAACTGATTTTTCAAAGACTGTGTGGGACTTTGTCTGACAACTGCAAAGACAAGAGAGAGGTTTAATTTCCTCGTGTCAGAACCTGTGGACTTTGCCAAAAAGAGTCTCATATTATTTTCAGAGTAAAGTGATTGAATAAAACCAACAGCTAACAAGCTCCTTGAGGAGGAATGAGTGGAGGAGATCTAAGCAGACACACACTTTTGTTCAGAGAGTAGCATCTTAGGGGCAAAAGACTTCGCCTCTCTGAGCCTGAGTTTTCTTTCCTGATCATTTAGAATTTTACCTGAGCTGTGATCTTGGAAAACAGTGGACGTTAAGAAATCTCACTCTTTGTGTTTCGGAAAACAGCCCATTACGATGAACCTCTTCTCCAAATGACTTAGATGGAACTGGTGGATGCCCTCCACCCTTGGGTACATATGGCAAGACCAGACACCAGATCCTCCAGATCGCCATTCTCTACCGCATAAATGATCAGCTGAACTGTACTGTCCCCACTGATCCATGGGAACATAATGCTTGTTTTTTCTTTTTTAAAGATTTTATTTATTTATTTGAGAGAGAGAGCATGAGTGAGAGCAGAAGCAGGGGGAGCGGCAGAGGAAGAGGGAGAAGCAGACTCCCTTCTGAGCAAGGAACCCAATGCGGGGCTTGATCTCAGGACCTGAGCCTAAGGGCAGCTGCTTAACTGACTGAGCCACCCGGGCGCCCCAACATAATGCTTGTTAACCCAATTTTGGTTAAGCTTCTCTTCTGCCTCCAGGCTTTGGTCTACCCTCAGCCTGGACCAGCAGACAGTCTGTCTTGAGAACAGGCTGGCCTTCGGGTAAAACATTCTCTGACGCTAACACCTTTATCCCACTTCTTCCCACCTGGTTCTTTCTAACTTTGTTTACTCCTTTCTGCAAAAGGAAACCCCTTTTAGCTTAACTCTTGAGACACTTGCAGACCTTCTGGCCAGAGCATTCTCCCTATTGCTGCTGATTTTCTTTCTCCTTTCTCCCACTGTGCAATAATCCTTTTGCACAAGCTCTCTCTTTACTAAGTCAGGATTTGCTTTTCATTTGACGTATCTTTCCTTTTTTTAAAATTTTTAAAGCAGATAAAAATACCCATGGAAAGGATTAAAAGGGATGGTGTGTATAAAATCCCCAACTATTAGGAATACCCTCTAACCTGCATTCACTTTCATTAGCCTTTTGTTTCAGACATACCCTGCTACAAGGAGTAGACATTTTAGGGAGTTGGATGATCCCTGGAGCTCCCCTGCAGCTCCCCTGCAATGCTACGGCCCAAAGTTACTGAAATTCAGACAGTGATTAAAAGAAAAATCAACATGCAGGACAGATATTGGAACCAGAGATCCAGAACATTCTGGAAATGCTTCTCTGACACCAAAATACAAGCTGATGTTATTGGCTTGTGGAGTATAAGGGATCAGGGCTCTGGGTCACTTCAGCTCTATGGCCATGTAATGTTTTTAATCAGTGATGTAGGTCCCTTCTCTCTGAGTCTTGATTTCCTGTCCCTAAGCTAGAGATAAAGCCTCTTCCCAGTCTCATTTGGAAGATCAAGTGAATAGAGGAGACATGGACATTTTTATCATGAGCCTGGCTATGGCAAGTACTCAATACATAATCACTTTGCCCAAATAAACCAGCATCTCTCATCTTGACAGATTAAAAAATAAGCCTATTTCACTGTATATATTTTTATAGGTTCTTATGTTTGCATTGTTTACAAATATACATTATATACTCGGACATATAAATGAGTGCTTTTTTTTTTTTTTAAAGATTTTATTTATTTATTTGAGAGAGAGAATGAGAGAGACAGAGAGCACATGAGAGGGGGGAGGGTCAGAGGGAGAAGCAGGCTCCCTGCCGAGCAGGGAGCCCGATGCAGGACTCAATCCAGGGACTCCAGGATCATGACCTGAGCCGAAGGCAGTTGCTTAACCAACTGAGCCACCCAGGCGCCCTAAATGAGTGCTTTTGTGAAGTATGTGTATCGCAGAAAAAATGAATAGAACCAAACCATTGATTTCAAATAAGATAATCTGCAGTAAAACTAGCATGTTTTAGGAAAATAAAAGCATATTTTCATTTCCTACGACTGCTTTGGAAATCCATAGTGATCCCCGATATGTGCTATCAGCCACCGTTTGGGGATAGGTTATCTTTAAGGAAATATTTAGCAACTTTCACACCCAGTGGCTGCCTAGAAACCTGGTTCCTGGATTTTTCTTAAGCATCTTTGCCGATGCTGACTGGACCCTGGATTATTTTGCACCATGACACACGTTTAGAATGCATGTGGTCTCTCCGGTCCCGCGCACTCAGTGCGTCCTGGAGAGTTTGTTGCTTCTTTGCAAAATCTGTGAAAGGCATTTTTATCAATCACTCCTGATCATCTCCACTCCTTCTTTGTGGATGATGTAGTATAAAAAAATCCTCTGGGATGATGCAAAAACAAAAAAATCATTTAGTCTCTAGACAAAGCGAGTTTTGTTGAACTGGTATAGAATCTGCTATGTCAACACGGCAACAAGTGGGAGTTAGGGTACGGAGTAGGTTGTAATGGGAACAGTGCAGGTCTAAGAGTCAGACTCAAATCTCAGCTTTTCCGAGTCATGTATATGATTTGGGACAAGTGACTTGACTTGTCAGAGCCTCAGTTTCCCCCCTTGTTGGGCTGATATGCAGATTAAATGAGATCATGGTTGCAAAATGCCTACCACAGTGCTGGTACACGTGAGGAGCTCAGTGGAACCTAGATTCCCACCCCCAGCTCCCCCATTCAGTAGGAAGAAGGGTGATATCCCCACACTCTGTTGTTAGGATTTTTCCTGCCCAGCTTGTTCACTCTCTCCCATTCTTAATATTTTATTTATTTATTTATTTTTTAAAGATTTTATTTATTTATTTGACAGAGAGAGAGACAGCGAGAGCAGGAACACAAGCGGGGGAATGGGAGAGGGAGAAGCAGGCTTCCCGCCAAGCAGGGAGCCCGATGTGGGACTCGATCCCAGGACTCTGGGATCATGACCTGAGCTGAAGGCAGACACTTAACGACTGAGCCACCCAGGCGCTCACTCTCTCCCAATCTTAAAGGCAAGTGGTAAGTGACTAGTGACTTGGTGTCTGTCTGGTCATAGTCCTCACTCAGGACTCACCACAAACACTTTCCTCTTGGTCACATGCAAGTCACATGTTTGGGCCCTGGGGATATCCCCCTGTGGGCTGCAAATTTTCTTATAGGTCAGGAGAGTATGCTTGCTTTTAACTCCTTAGGTTTTCAAAGGATTTTTTTTTTTTTTAAAGATTTTATTTATTTATTCATGAGAGACAGAGAGAGAGAGGCAGAGGGAGAAGCAGGCTCCCAAGGAGCAGGGAGCCCGATGCGGGACTCGATCCCAGGACTCTGGGATCATGACCTGAGCCGAAGGCAGACGCTTAACCATCTGTCTACCTGAATGCAAATGTCCAATCACTTCATCTTGAGTGGGGTACAGATGGACTTGATACTTTTAACAGCCCAGGGGATCTTTTATCTTTGACCAGATTCAGAATTATGTGAATCTCTGAGTCTGAGTGAAGCAGTTTCTGAATGCCTGACGGTGTGTATGAAAGAGAGACACAGGAGAGGAAGGAAGAGGACTGATAGAATCTGAAAGAAAATGCCCAAGAGCCATGGGCCTTTGGAACCCTTAAGGGGGGAAGACATCTGAAAACCCTCAATTGAGAGGAGAAGTCTGTTACCAAGGTGTGTCGTTTCTGGTTTGAAGCTATTAGAATAAGTTTTGACAAACCCTCTGAAAGAAATCTTGGGCCCATGGCCCATACATGATCTCCTGGAAATCACACCAGGGAGAAATACCTGTCAGGTGTGCCCTTGGCTTATCTCCAGCAGCTCCGGAAATTGCATCTGTAAGGAAAGGAGAGAGATGCTTTGTGTGAGTCAGAGGGTGGCTGGAGTGAAGACAGTATTTTTGGAGTTGCATGGTGCCTGCAACTGGAGAGAATCATTCCTCTCCTTCAGCTGGGTCCACTGGGGATTGCTGTCATTTCCCCAGGGACAGAGAAGCCTCAGGAGAAAGAGTCTTGAACACAAATAAATCTTGGCCCATAACTTTGGGCAAGTTTCCAACCTGTCCAAGACTCTGTTTTCTCATCTCGAAGGTCATCCCTTGCTATCATGAATGTAGAGTGCTCAGCATGATTCCTGGCACATGGCCTATGCTCAATGAACTCACATTGCCCCCCACCCCCCCCGCTACTGCTTCAGGGTGAGCAAACTGACCTTTGGCCTTATTCAAGGTCCCTTTAGCCATATCCACTGAAGCATCTGGATGGCCTAACAAATAGGGTAGGGAGGGGTAGGATTAGGCATTCTTCTAATACTTTTATAGGAATTAACTGATTTAATCTGCACTAATCTAAGAAGGTAGGTACCATTATAGCCAATTTACAGGTGAGTAAACTGAGACAGAGGCAAGTGACATTATTTGCCAAAGGCCATCATCTCCATAGGCCATATACTTGGACACAGCACCATTTTGTCTTTTTAGTGACTTGGGAGCAACCTCACTCCTCCTCTGGGTTTTCATCCCTCTGAACCTCCCTCATACCCAAACTACTGAATGCTCTGTTCCCCACAAGAGAAGGCAACAAATATGAACACACTTACAAGCTCGCTGATGTGAAGGTCCAAACTCTTGCCCTTTTGAAGTCTATTGGAAAAGAAAGATATGATTCAGCCCACCTGTGGTCCTTCTGTCACCCAACCCCACAGCTGCCCATAGCAAGGGCATGATTAAGATGCCGCTGCTACCCAAACTGGGCGTTCTGAGATGAGGGACATGGCAATGAGACTACTCGATGGAGGGGAATCTTGTGCCCAAGCGCTCCCCTTTCCTCCTCCAGCACCCCGATGACCTTCTCTCTCCTACACTCGTCTTGGAAGCTCAACTTCGAAGTTCTGTCCTGAGAGCCTTCCCTGTTCTGTTCTAGGACACTCTGACATCTATTATTTGAACAAATGATGGCACTTGCTTTATTTTCTTTTGTCCACCATGATTTAAGAATTGGAACTATTTAAAAAAGTGATACAGAAAAAGAAATAAGGGCTCTGTTCTCCTTCCTACCAGCCCCTTGTCTCCATGAATGACATGGAGACATGTCCATCCTTGCAATCCTAGCTTGCGAGCCATTTCAGATACCACACGGGGCAGGCGGGGCGGGGGAAGGGTAACTGCTTTGGAGGTAGACAGACCTGAATTTGAATCCTGCTGTCACCATTTATTAACAATATGATCTCGAGCAGACACCTTTCCTCTCTGAGCTCTGGTGCCCTCATTTGAAAAATGGGAACAATAACATCCCTAACCTCAGATAACTCCCACATTTGAGATAAGGATCAAATCAGATGTGTGAGTCAGGGCAAAGAACGTGCAGGAAATGAAGGAATCACTGTGTCTGAACACAAAGCTCAGGAGCAAAGCTAAGTCCTTGGCTTAAAGGGATAAAATCACCACCTTATATTTTACGGTTTCCAGGAAAACCTTCTCTGATATGATATTGACTCAATTCAGAGTCTTCTGATTGGGTTCTTATAACTACATAGTCCCCACGGACAGTGATCCTCATGTCACCAGTTCTGTATCTTAGAATCCGTGTGTGTGTGAGATCGTACTTGTGAATGAGGAATTGTGCGTCCATGTGGGTGTGACAGAAGACAGCTCTAGCAGTGGGGGAGGTAGGAGCCGATGTGTTTTGTGTGTCTACATGTGACTCTAGTGTGGAGCTGTGTACATGGATGTCTCTGCACGTGTTGGTGTGGTCACGTGGGTGTAGCTGTGTCATTGCTCACCAGGACTGTGAGCAGGTCTGTGATGGCAGTGACCTCATTAAAGCCCAGACGGCCAGGCTCTTTTTATTCCCAAGCCATGCTACCTAACCTCCACTGGAAGGCTTCTTGAGGGCAGAGATCTTGTCTTTGAACGACAGACCCATTGTCTCTCCATTGTCTACTTCCTAATTCTGTGAATAGCAAGACAACTGCTTGCCTTCAGTTGCCAGGCTTGAAACTTGCTGCTTTCTCCTCCCACAAACCCAAGCTGCCATTTCTATTTTGCAATTTTTCTCATTCGTGCCTCCCCGCCCCCCCCCCCAGGCCTCAGCACGCTGTTCTTCTGGATTCTCCCATCAGCCTCTTAACTGATCCTTTTGCATCTGGTTCTCCTTTCCTTGAAATCATCTCCTCACCTGCTCTCAGAGTGCTTTTTCTAAAGCATCACTGTATGGGGACACAATTCTGTCCATAAACCTTCCATGGCTCTCCATGGCCTTCCAGACACAGGCCCAAATACTTATCTTGGCATTCAAGGTCCCAGTTGATCACCCCATTCTTGTTACCCACTATTTATTCCTCTCCGAGTACTCTGTGCTCCAGCCATGAGAGGCAACCACAGTGAATGATTCAAAGGACCTGAAAGATGCAGTAAATGTAGCTACTTTCTGTTGAATGAGGAGTGGCTCTGTGCTATGCTACGCCCTTTGCACACGTCATCTCCTTCAGTGTTGTGACGACTCTTCAGGTAGATGCCATTCATACCCTTATATTGAAAAGGGGGGGGTGGTGCCTGGGTGGCTCAGTTGGTTAAGCGACTGCCTTCGGCTCAGGTCATGATCCTGGAGTCCCGGGATCGAGTCCCGCATCGGGCTCCCTGCTCGGCAGGGAGTCTGCTTCTCCCTCTGACCCTCCTCCCTCTCATGCTCTCTGTCTCTCATTCTCTCTCTCTCAAATAAATAAAATAAAAATCTTTAAAAAAAAAAAAAAAGAAAAGGCGGCTCAGTCAGGTTAAGTAACTTGCCCAATGTCCCACAGCTGGAAAGTGAAGTAGGATTTTAACCCAGGTCAATCCACTCTAGAATTCCTGGCCCTAAGCCATTGCACCTTCTCACTTCCGGGTAAGCTCCCCCTTTGGTGAGGTGGATGGATGAGTACCAGCAGCTCCATGCACTGCAACAGTAGGGGAAACACAGAGCTCAGAAAACAGGAACCCAGCCCAGAAGTGGGGGAATCAGGGGAAATTACCTCTGAAGTTGAGTCTTAGAGGTCCCACAGGTATTAGCCAGGTGATAAAAGGTAATGACCATTCCAGACAAGGCTAAGAGCTTGTGCAAGAGTACAGAGGCCCAACAAGGCATGGGAGCAGCTGGGAAACTACAAGGATTTCTGCTGCCAAATGAACCCATATATACATTCAGCATAGGGTCATGAGTACAGTTGCTTCGGAAAACCTAAACCCAATTGATGCAACTACTTGTCCAGCATCGATAACTTTGATGGGCTTTAGGAGTGGGGTGGGGTGGAGAAGCAGCCTAGAAATGAGCTTATTCTGTAGCCTGTTTCCTGTGCTGTTCCTTATTTGCTGTTAACAGAGCTGATAAAGAATTGGTTTGTGGCAGGCAGAAAACTGAAGGGGAAGAATTGGGAGAGCATGGTTGCATCCTCTTGTGTATGAAATGGTACAGTCCTGGCTGGTCTTCTGCTTCATTGAGTACTCTGCTGAGAAATCTTCTTGAACATCTGCTTATTTTTGTCTAAGCAGACACTCAGCTAAAAGACTGGAGCATTCCCTTTGGCTCAGAGTCTTGCTGTCATTAGCATGTATCTGCGATGTGAACACATTTCCCTCTTTGCTCTGCTGGATTTCTATATCTTGGGCATACAGTTATTTTCACGTGTGGTTGGACGTGTATGGAACTTAGTGGCCTAGAATCTGCTATACATCTGGAGTCTGTCATAGTGCCAGTTAGCAGGTGTTGAAGACCTCAACAGTCCAAGAGTCCCCAAGAACATCAGCTGGGACTCTCTTACCAAGAACAACATCTAAAGCCTTCCATTGCTGCTTCCCTTAATAATGCCTCTTCATGGGAGGAAGATTTTTGTGACGGGAAGCAGGAATGAATGAAGAGGAGATTTGAGATGAAGAAATAGTAGCTTATTTGGAGGAGCTTATGCATTTGAGCTGGCTCGATGCCTGTTTTCAAGGTGACTGTTTGCAAGAGCTTTTCGCTCTCAAGTACAATCCAAGCTGCCTGTGGGCAATGACCTGGTCTGTCTTGCTCACCATCAAATTTCTGGTGCCTCAGACCATGCCTGGCACTTCTGCCGGATTACCCAATCAGCAAAATATGCTGATGCCCAGGTGTCGGAAAGACAGGTAGAAAAGAGAGCTGGAAGAGGGAGGCAGGTTCAGCCTCAGTGACTTTTGCCTGAGTTTGGCAATCCAAAAAATGAAGAAAAAAAAGACCTTTTGATTTTACAATACATGCCAAGTTTTGAGTTCTTGTTTAAATTTTAAATAGTTAATTTAAGAGTTAAATGGCCATAATCTTTTAGTTACTGGCACCTCCAAGTTTTTCATCAGGCTTTGCTTGGAGCATAGTCATGGCTCCAGAAATGTTTGTGGAAGATTGTGAGCTTTGTCCAGGAATCAGAGACAGAAAAGGCAAATGTGGATGCCTGTGGGGATTCGTGTTAGTAGAATAGTGGGGCGCCTGTGGCTACCAGCATTGATGAGCCCAAGCAAAGCAAGCTGGTGCTTTTTACCCCTTAGTTTCTATAGGTCAGGGGATTTTTCACTCTTGTTTGCGTTTCTTTCTTTTTTCCTTCTCACTTTTTTTTCTTTTTTTTTTTGTATGCTGATTGGTAATCCCTGACACATTTTTGGAATTACTCTAATACTTCAACCAGGGAAGAAAGAAGGATGGAGGGAGGGAGACGGCTATCTAGTCGAGTACTCCCTGGGTGCCAGGTCCTGTACTGGGGTTTATGTGTGTTCCTTGTCTACCAGTCCAGTTACTCTCAAAGGAGGGCATCACCTTTTTAGAGGCTTTGTAGGCCAAAGGTCAAAGAGTAAATGGAGGGTCTGGGATCTGAACCTTCAGACCAAGTGCAGACCCTGGCACGTATCAGGAGCCCCATAAACATTAGCTGAGTACACACCATGGACCATGGAACCCGAAGCCAGATGATCTTTGAGATTCTCTTATTGGCATTTCCCCAGAAAAAATCCCTTGAGTGTATTTTAGCTAATGACCCATTTAGCCTTTCTCCCATGTCCTATACCCACTGTCTAGTATATTCATAAACAGGAAAAGAGATCCATTTTTTGCCATCATAAATGCCGCAATTGCAAAACCATCAATGTTTTATGACCCATAACATCCTCCCAGCACTTCTAGGAGAAATACACAGACCATTGCCTCCTTGTTTTTGGCTTTTGCTTTTCTCTGTTTGTACTTGCACAAGGATAAATCCAACCTGGAAATGTTTTATTCCAAGGCCACTTCAATTCATTACCCTCCTGGGTACACTGGATGGGGCTTCACACCCAACATTCAGAGGGGTGCAGAGCTGAGCATGTGGTGTTGGCAGCCGAGCAAATGTGGGAATCCCAGCCCTAGGGTTTCCTAGCAATCTGACTTTGGTATGTCACCTAACCTCAGTGAGATTCTGTCTCCTCATCAATGAAGGCAGGCAATCATTCTTTCCTCCTGGAAGCATCGTGATGCCTAAGGAAGACCACACACATACAGTGGATATCCAATTCACCTTCCTTCTTTCTTTGGGTTCAGTCAATATTTATGGTGCATGGTGTTGGTTCTGTGTAAGTTCCCTTTGTTTTCACTGCTTCGGTGTTACACAGAAGGCACCCTTGGG